TTCCTGTTGGATGTAGTAGTTTATTCATTGGCGGTCACAAGACATCACGAGGTATCTATAAGTTGTAGTCCTGATACAAAAGATCTCTGTGTTATCTCTTGATTAGATTGGTTCGTCATCTCATTGTTTCAAGTTGTTTCTGTGGCATATCAGGGTCCGTTCATGACAGAAATCCCTACAATAGTTTGTCGTTTTTATCCTGGTGTTTGTTATATTCATTTGCTTGGCAAATGTCTTTTTGGGTGTTGGTTCTTTTGCAGTTGTAGGTAACCCGCAAAATAAACAGTAATTATTTCTTCTTATTGTAATTGGTCCCCCCTCCCCCCAGACGTGCGTGCATAGGCACGTGCCTAGACTGTCTATGCATAAATCTGGCCCTGAATAGATCAGATTTCTTTTTAATCCATCAGTGTTTGTCAATGTAATATTTCTGATGTAATATGTAAGTTATTATTCCATTACAGATCACACTGGAGACAGACTGGAATGTAAATTCTATCTATCTAAAGAATATCAAGATACCTTACAGATGCAAAACCGTGCTAATGGCAGGTGAAAACCACAGACTGATAAAACAATCAGCAATAGTGTCTGATTAGCCACTGATAGCAGTGATAGTTCTTCTGCCAATTCCAAAAATATAACAGCAACCTTTTCAGTGAATGGTACACAATTTCTTTCCAAATATATCTATTTTAGTTTTCATTTTGAGAAAGCAGTATTAGATATATATGTATATATGTATAAAAATTAAATTAGAAATTTAGGAATTTTGTATAACTTACATCTTATTTTACTTATACATTTGCTTTCTAGATGCTGCCAGATCAGTCGACTAGCAGAATGAACAGACATAGGCCTACAGGTTCTGTGAAACCATCGTCCTCCACTTTTATTTTGTTCACAACAAATTAGTTGTAAAACCCTTCTGTGTAAACTATGTGGAGTGGACAAACGTTTCTGTGTTACACTCGATGCTGTGTTTCATTAATGCTAATAAGAGTGTCCTTTGTTCAGTCGGGTATTTGGCTTAAATAACCTCTGTTGGTGACATCATTGGAATGCATGCTAGTAAAAGGCTATAAATAGACGTGAAACAGACACGCTTTCAGGTTTTTTTGTCTTCAGATACCATTTTGTGTGTTTCAAAAGAAGATGAAAGTGACAGTAAAGAGAAAACAACTTATAAAACATGTCAAGGGAATCTGTAAAGAGATGCGCTCCTCCTTGTTCGCAGCCCATCTCTGAAGATGACCCGCATGCATTTTGTTTGGAGTGTTTGGGGGATGAGCACACCATCCTCAAGTTCAAGGGAGAGTGTGAGCACTGCAATGCGCTTTCTCATCAAAGTACTCTGCTCTAGGCTTGCTTTCTTTCAGAAGGAGCAAGCTGCCGCACCCTCATTAAGATTGTTGTTTTTGCATGTCGATCTGGCTGAGGTGCAAGAGGCAAGTCCTTCCCTTTGTCTCATGCTCTCGCCAGATTGGGAGGTCCTCATGCCGGCTCCCGAAGTGCACCGTGGTGTTTCTTTGGATCGGGCAGAGGACACCTCATCTCTTGCTTTTGCAGAGATGGTAATAGAGAGCGCCACCTCTGAGTGCTCCTCTCGCGATGATAAAGCATATGAGGAGTGACTCAAGGTGGTGACTTGTGCAGTGGACAGATCAAAACTAAACTGGCAGCAGGAGAAAGAGACCTTCAAACGCTCCAAACTAGATGACAGGTTTCAAGCTGGCCAAGAGGAGGGACCTCAGCGATAGTCTCTCCCCTTCTTTGCTGATCTCCATGACAAGATAACTAATTTATGGAGTAAGCCATATTTGTCCTGTGTCTTTGTGCCCTCAATGTCAATGTCAATCAAAACAGGGGCTTTGTACCCTTTCTATGTGGCTCAGACCCTGCTTTCTGACCTTGGGTCCCACTCTATGCATGTGTTGTCATCTCAAGATGCTAACGACAGATGCTTCCAGCATGGGCTGGGGTGTGGTATTAGATGGCCATCCAGCCCAAGGAATCTGAAGAGGTCATCTTCTTGATTGGCACATCAATTGCCTTGAAATGATGGCTGTATTTCGGGCCCTGAAATACTTTCTCCAGCAGTTAAGGGGCTACCATGTCCTAATGCGGGTGGACAACACTGCTGTAGTTGCTTACATAAATCATCAAGGAAGAATGCACTTGCGCTGCCTGAACAGGCTAGTGCAGCAGGTCCTGCTTTGGGCACAGGACAAGTTCCTGTCCCTTAGGGTGATTTACATTCCCGGGCATATGAATGACTTGCTGTCCAGACAAGCTGTGACACACTGGGAATAGAAACTCCACCCCGAAGTAGTCAGACAAATTTGGGAAACATTTTACAAAGCAGATGTAGACCTCTTTGCTTCACAGGAGACAGCACAATGTCCCCTCTACTTCTCTCTGACTCCTCCAGCTCCCCAGGGTCTGGACACGATGCCCCATACGTGGCCCAGACTTTATCTTTACACATTTCCTCTGATCTCTCTGCTCCCAGGAGTCCTGGCCAAGGTCCATCAACAAAGGTCTTGCCTTTTACTGACAGCACCTCGTTGGCTGACCAAGGTTTGGTTCTCAGACCTGATATCCCTCCTCAACAACTTGCCATGGGCGATTCCGGTCAGGAGAGATCTCCTATCTCAGGCGCAGAGGACGTTATTTTGCCGAGCAGACCCAGTTCACTGCCAAGATGTTTCAGTGCTGGATTTCCTGCAAGAAAAACTGCCTCAGGTACATGTACTGGTAGTCTCTTGCCCTGTTTACGCTAGTGTGTTTTCATTTTAAAATGCTTTAAGATCCTCGTCTACACTTGCGTTTTCACTGCGTTTCAGAAAAGTTCACCGTCCACACTACACAACTGAAAACACATGTCACATAACCATTCATGCAGGTACAACCATGAATGCCCAAGAATGTGGGCAGCCACGACATCATTTTCAAAAGTCTTCGTTTTGGTCCGTTTACACTGAAATGCAACCCCAGAGTTTTCAAACTCTAAAGGGGTCTGCAGCATTTTCGAAAGTCTCCGATTTCGATGGTTGAAAACGCGGGGGTAGTGTAAACGACAGGCGTAACTGTAGCAAAAGTTATGCATTTTAAAATGAAAATGCACTAGTGTAAATGTTGCCTCAGAGTCTATGTGACCACTATTTCGGATTGCCATGCTCTGAATGACACCTTCTAGTCATTCGCTTAACTTGTGAAGCTAAGCCAGAGCTAGGGTTCCTTCATGGGATTTAGCTATAGTGCTGCTGTAGATCAAGAAAGACTTAATTTACTGTGTCCACTTCACCAGCCAGAGGCAGCAACGTATTGGAGTATGTGAGTGGAGTGGAGCAGCAACAATTTCCCCTCCGCACTCCAAGCATTCAATAATCACTCCTCTTCAGCTCCGCTCCGGTTTCAGCATTTCCCACTCCTCACTCCTCGCTCCACTGATCAGAAACGCCACTCCGCCTTCACTCCATGACAAAATTTGCAGCTAAATTGTAAAACATTTTAGTGTTTCTTGGCTTCAGTATGTTTTGAAATATCACAAAGTTCTGTTCAGAACTTATATTAAACGAAAAATAAATACACAATACTAGAAGAATAGTTTTAATGTGATTTATTGGAACACTACAATTAGCCCACGTCTATATTAAATGACTGTTTAACTCACTTGTCTGTGCAGC